ACAAAGCAAAGAATTTTCGATAAGCCTCTTGTTCTCTCATTCTTTTATTTCTCCTCTGATCTCTTTCACGCAAGAGCGTGATTTGTTTGATTTGGAAATAAAGGGAGATTATTAATATTGTTTTTTGTTATTTGTTTCTTACATTTTACTCTAGCTTTGAATACAATGCGATGGAATTAACTACATAATTCGAATTACCGGAAATAAAGCACTATTGGTATTTCCATTGATTGCGCATTTGCCGCCTACGTAAGTTGTAAACCGGATTCGTGGTCGTCTTTGAAGTAGTTTCAAAAAATATCTTTGCGATTATTTTAAGAAAATTCGCCTTTTTCTTAACGTAAAGTTATTGTTTTTAAAATTACGTAAATAATTTTTCATGTGCATATGTACTGAAAATCAAAATATTTTCTTGAAAAATTATATTTTTTTTAAACTCTTGAAATTAGGGCTCATTAATATATTAATTCTTGAAATTTTTAATTAACGCGAATTCACTGCCCAAGGAAAATAAATTATTGTCGCTTCACTTGCAGACAAGATCTCTTGCAAGTGTTGCTTTCCTCTGTTGCAAGTCAAGGTGATCAAACATAGATCCCAATTCTTTATGTGCAAAAATGTTTCTCACCTGCAGAAGACAGATATGTGTTGGAATCGGAAGAGTTTTATTCAAATTGTGCGCCAGTCACACCTTGCTTTTTGTTTGACATAAAATTTTACGTTGACGTATTTTCTTCTAACTTCATACTATATTCCTTTTTTAAAAAGTAGAAAAATTTAAAAACTTGAATTTATTAATGGAAACTATAATTTTTATGAACATAGATACTTGGCATATCGAATATTAGGATTTTAAAGATATTGGTAAAACTGAAGATAAGAGAGAAGTTTTAAGAAAGTTCTCTGCTAATTAATATACACCATGTCCACAAAGCCTTCATGAAGCTTTTATTATTGCAAACCGTTAGTCCTAGATACATATTTTCTGTTTTAAGGTATTTTATGGCAGTCTGCAAAGTCTGAATCAGGATTTTCTTTAAATGATAATCTCGCTCAAAACTTCAAAATAAATTGTTCAAAAATATGTTAAAATTTAGAACTCATTGTATCGAACTCCCTGGTGATATTGAAAAAAATACTCTTACAAATCATAGTCAGTAAAAGTGATGTCGGTTTCCAGAGATTCTTTTGCAATTTGTATTCAGATAATCCAATAAATTTTCGAGAAGCAGCAACCTGCATAAAAGAGCAAATTAATGCTACTCAGTTCTGCTAATATTCATAGTTTTGCGTCTCAAGAATCTATTATATGTCATTTTATATGACCTTTAACTCCCCATTTCGGAGGATTGTGGGAGGTTAGAATCAAGTCTGAGGAGGAACATTTATTTAAAGTTTGCAAGTCAGTTATTTTCACTTTTGAGGAACTTACGACTCTAGCAATACAGATTGGAGCATGTCTTAATTTCAGGCCACTGCCTCCTTTTTCTTCAGATCCTCAGGATTTCGAACCTCTTACTCCACGACAATTTTTTATTAGGTGCTCCCATAAAGTCATTTCTTGAGAAAGCTCCAACAAAATCACTTTGCTTGTCAAGATGGCATCTGATTCAGCAAATTCGTATTTAGTTTTGTCAAGGTGCAAGAAGAATATCTGAGTCAACGGTAATCACAAGAAAAGTGGACTTCGCGTGAAAAGAATATTCGTGTGAAAGACTTGGTATATCTCAAAGAGGATTCTCTTTCGCCTTTGAAATGGAATCTTGTAAGAATCACAGAAGTTTTTCCTTTAAAAGACGGAGTCATCGGAGTTGCTGAAGTAAAATCCTCTACTATCCTCTACTACTTCCTCTACTACTATTGTATCGGCGTTCAATTTCCAAATACTCTCCTCTTCCTAAATAGTCATCCTGAAATTGAGAGTTTAGCCGGGGGGGGATATGTTAAGTTTCAGATTACTTTTATATAGGTGGTGCCGCCCTCGCTGTGTTTTTATTTTTTTTCGGCAGCAGATGTGAAAGCAAAAGATAGAAGAATTCCAGGGATAAATAGAAAGGGCTAGATCATTTCTTTGTTCGACTCCTCGCCGACGCGAGCCTAATGGTGAAAATTAACAGGCAGTAATTTGACGTCACTGTGATGCCACCTGTTCTGATTTCCCGCGTTTAAAACTGTAGTTTCATTCAGCTGCGAGACGATTTTCTAGAGGTTACATATCCCAAATTAATTTTAATCATATATATATCTGTTTTCTAATAATGTATATATTTAAAATAATTTATATATATGTAATTTTAGTCAGTTTTTATTTTAAATTCTATATTGTAAAGTACCATTTACGTAATATGGCTTTTTGCGCTGTAGTAACTTGCCGTAGCACTTACAGAAGTACGAAAGGATGAGATATTTTATTTCATGGGACCAAAGGATCCAAATGAGGTTTTGCTTTTGACGAAAGAATGGATACACAAATGTCAAAGACAAGATTCTATTAATGCGAAGAGCGGAAAAATCTGCAGCGAACATTTTCTATGCAGTGTTTATGAAGATGATATGAAAAATCGCTTGTTTGGATAGCCACAAAGAGAAACTGTTGAAATGGAATGCTGTGCCGAAAGTAAATTATGATGACAATAATAAATCGAAATTGATGATGACAATAGTAAATCGAATTTTAATGATTTTGAAATAAAACTCACAAATGAAAATATAGATATTCCTGAATGCCCTAAGTTTAAGGATAAACAAGAATGCATTGATAATTTGAAGAACAAAATAATATCCTTAGAAAATTGTATTAAAGTATTGAAAAATAGAGAAAAGAAAATTTTAGAATGTTTGTTCAGCGGCAAAAAAGGTGGACGACATCTAGACAGAAATTGGTATCAGAAATTAAAATCTCAAATAGCGAAATTGGGGGGGGGAGCACAAATCGGAGAATTTGAAAAAATGTCTAATGCCTATTTTTATAAAGACGCAGATTAATGTATTACTGAAAAAGAAGGAAAAAATCAGGCGGACTAGTGAAGATATTTCACGTTGCATTGTCATAAGAGCCTCTGTCATCTTAAAGCTAGAATTTTTGGAAAGAAAAAAAATTAAGAAAAAAACTGGAATATCTTTACCTAGTATTAGCAAATTAAAGAAATGGTGCCCTAAATTTTAGTGTAGTCCAAGAATTCAAAGTGATGTTCTTACTCTAAAGAAGGAAAGAGGCGAATATTTGTATTCTGTAGAAAAAATATGCGTTCTCAGTTTCGACGAAATGCATATAGATTGAAAACTCTGCTATGACTCTAAACTGGACCAAGTTCTCGGTTCTTTTCAAAATGTACAGTTTGTTTTAATCAGAGGTCTCATTTCGCGCTCTGCCTCAAATTAATGAGAAACCACGTTTTAGATAAAGGATTTGTTTTAGATGATGGAACTGTTTTAAATTTTGTTATTATTAAAGAGGTTTTAAATAGAGATTGAGAAGAAATCACATTATGTCACAAACTAAAACCGAATTATTTAATGGTCAAGGAAAACGAGAGACAAAAAGTTGCTCCAGAGAAATCATTATTTTCAAAAAGTACCGCAAAAGGTATACTCCACCCCACAGGAAATCAAAAAGCATCTGACTTCTATGAGTTAATCGATAATATCTTCGGTATTATGAATAGGCAACAATAACAAGTATTTAGCAAACTAATTTTGTTAAGTACTTGTTAAAGTTATTCTTATTGTATCCTTTGTAACTAATTATTGATTAGATTTTGTGCTAAATTAGCATTCTAGATAAAATATAATAGTATAAAACATTAAAGTAATTGGCATAAAAAGACTTGCTTCCTTTACTCACACTTTTTAAAAATTAAATAACTGTATTAGGTACTCTGAGTAAAGCTATTTTGTCAATATTAAGGTAACAATCTTACATACATTTATTTAATTGTAATATAGATATAAGTATAAATTACAAAATTATTTAAAAAAAATTATATTATTGAATCGGAAGATAATTATAACAATGTAAAATTTACAATTAGGCAAAAAATCAAACGTAGGTTAGCAGAAATGTTGCCATATATGTCATATATGTTTAAAACTATGTCAATGTAAAAATTGTTTTTTGAGTAAATTTAAATAGCTGCTATTATAGTTGTCTTAGAAGCAGTATAAAAATTCTCTCAGTTCACATGCAGATAAAGAAATGATTAGAATAAAAATAAACGTCATTAAATAAAAAAACTGCCAAATAAAAATTGAAAAAAAACCCACGGAACTTATGTTAAAAGAGTAGTACATTTTATCTATTATTTTAAAATTGAGTAAGTAATATTAAATTTTTTAATGGTTCAGTCTAAAATGCATAAAGCAGTAACATTGTCTCTTCCAAATTATAGCTATCTTTCACACACAGCTCATTTCAAACGCTGGTTCAAAATCGCTAATTTTCAAGCTGTGAATTGCATTTGCGCGCTCAGTATCATCATGGCTATGTCATCACTTCTCACTTTCTGCTTCAGAGGAAAAAGTTCTAGAGCCTAGCCCTTCTCTTCCAAGTCCTGGAAGAATTCAGTGAAAATGTCAACATGTAAAAATTCTACTAGTGCATATAAAAGTCTAAATCTTATTTGTGTCCTTGTCAAATATCAAGTGTTTCCAGGTAATTATTTTAATAAAGTTCATAAAATTCAAGGTTTAATTATTTTATAATTATTGAATTTACCACCAAACACTTCCGAATACGACACTGTTTTAACTGAGGGAAATGTTCGTATTTTGATATTTTTTAATTAAAAAAAATCTACTTTAAAAAATAATGGAACATAACATTTTATACTGTGTCTTTGTCAGTATGGTTATATTTAGGAAAATTTTATTTCGATTCTAAAGTACGAAATACAAAAAAATTAATTCCTCTACGACAAATATTAACTGATTCATTTAATTTTAAAGTTTCAAAATATGCCTTAAATATTATTGCACATACTTCATATGTCAAAATATCTTACCTTTTTTCCGTAATTTGTGATTTTTCTTGCAATATTGTCTCTCTTTTGACCTTCTTTCTCGAGATCTTCCTCTAATTGATGGCAGTTCTGTAAGAATTTCAGGTTCTTCTTGTCTCTGAGGAGGCACACTCATGGATCGCAGTCGGATTATGTTCTCTTGTGTTCCATCTACCCAGCTTTCAGAAGAAGGCCCAGAGCATAAGAAAGTCACGGAGATCTGATGATCGTTCTTTGATTGATCAAAGTTATTTATTTCAGACTTTTTATTCGCACAAAGACTTTTGAATCCTTTTTCCTGTTTTGCGATTGTAATAACAAAACTTTTTTTCACAACAAATTGTGTTTGAGCATCAGTTGTGGGTGTACTAGGTACTGAATCGGTCAGTGGGACAACAGGAGAACAATTTCGGACTAAGATTGAAGTACCATTTTGAGAAAGTTCTTGTTGAGCTGCAGAAATTGGTGGAGGCTGCTTAGGTGATTCGAGACTTCCTCTATTATCAGTATTTAATTTCTCTGAGGATTTTGTTGAATCTTCTATGCTGTTGTTCAGATCTGAAGGTAATATTTCATTGCTATTAACATCTAACTTGTATTTTGTGAGAGGTTGATCATCACAAATTGATGATTCAGTGTCATCTTCAGTATCTTTGTTGCTTTCAGCTTTATTCCTTTTATACTTTTCTATTAAATCTAACTTTTCGAAACGTACTACCTTTTTAGGTTCAGCATCAGAATGTTTGCTATCATTTGTGGAGTCTCGAAGTATACTAGACAATGAAATTTCACGATCAGGTTTCGAATCTTCTGAATTGACTGGCAGTAGTATTGAATCTGCAGGTTTATTATCGCTGTTTTTCTGATTCTCAAGCTCAGTATTGGTATTCTTTAAGTCATTATGGGTAAAACTTTCTTCTAGACTCAAACATTTACCATTGCCATTTTCAGAATCCAGTGTTGAATAATCTGGTGTATCAATATAAAAGGGTTCAGTTTGTTCTTCAACTTTTTCTTTGTCTAGTGTTTGAGATAAACTAGAATTCTCCAATGGCTCATTCACTACGTTTTCAGAAGAAGCCTCTTCCTTTTTGTTATGGTCTAAGTTTCGTTTTTTAGTTTCATGGTCTGAAGAAGCATAGATAGAGTCCTTATGAATTTCTGCTACAGTAGCCAGAGCTTTGGACGAATTTGCTTTGTTTTTAGAATTAAGCAATGCAGTTTCTGAATTTTTCTGGTTATTATATTTCACAGTTTGAGAGTTTCTATTATCGTATTTTTTCTCTTGATTACGCCCTTTGCATGTCTGTCCCTTTCTGGGAGGTTTAGAAAAAGGAGGTAAAGATTTCTCATCGAAGCAACTAATGTGTCCATTTGCCTTTATACCATTCGGGTTCAAATTCACATCGCGGTTGGTTTCTTTGAAAAGAGCAGTTGCTGTTTGAGGTTTGGGTGCCATACCTTTCTTTTTGACAACTTTAATGGGTTCTTTGTAAACATCTCGATTTTCATCTAAAAGTTTAGCCTGTACATTATCATTCCCTATTTCTGAATAAATAACGTCTTCAATGATAGTATTTTCATCGCAATTTTTTTTATTTGATTTTGATTTCCGGTTCGACGGACTTTCTTTGGGTTTGCTGCCATCAGATCCATCAACAATCGTTCTTGATTTAGAGTTCGTTCTCTTGTTGCCGCTTCCGGTCACAATAGTCTTTCCAAACACTTCCAGGTTGTTTTTGAGAGGATTCCTGGATTCTCTTTCTCTTTTCCGACCACGTAACCACCCACCTGATTTAGGAGGTGGGCTGGAACTGCGAGTTTTGCCATTTTCAGCAGTCTTGAGGGGGGCAGTATGGTATCCTATTGCCAAACGGTCACAACTCGTGCCTCGTACTTCTGATCGACTACGGCGTGGTTCTGTGTTAATGAGTCCAAGAGTACTCAGATTAATCTCACTTCGTTGTCGAGTGAGGCCAAGAAAGCTTTTCAGGTTAATACAGTCCGATGCAACTATGGATGGCTTCCGCGTCAACCCAGATTCCTATAAAGCAAATCAAACAATTATAAATTATGGGGAATAGAGATTTTTCTCATCAAAACATTCAAATTCATTAAAAATTAAGTTTCACATTATTCGGTTTCCTGTATCCGTATCCGAAAATTACTACGGGTCTACTATTTTATTATTCATGTGCAAAATTTTTTTTAAAAAATGTGAATCAATAGAGAACATTGAAAATACAGCTATTGGACAAGAATTGCCTAACGTTCTGGAGATAATTAGCGGATGAGAAGCGAAGCAAGAAGAATTGGATTGTTTAATTATGGAAAAGTACATTAAGACTACCTCCTTAAAAGCAGGAATGGCTTCATCGTTGACTTTCTAAGTGACTGGATTACTTGAATTACGGCAAAATATGCGAGGGCTATCCTAAAAGTGTGTGTATGTGTGTGTGTGTATGTGTGATTATGGCAAAGCCTCGAGGGCTATCTGCCTAAGAGGAGGGAAGGAGGGATGCCTTCGTGGAGGACTTTCTAAGGGAAACTGGCTCGTATACACGTTACACATGGAGAAAACCACGAAAACACCCATGCAGCCAGCCCGTTCGCGGGATTCGAACCTCGGACCGAACTACCAGTGTTCAGCGACTTTACCGCTCGGCCGCTGGTGGGCTGCTATCCTAAAAGTAAAGATGCCTTCGTGGAGGATGTTTTATGAGAAACAGGTCTGTAATCACATCATACATGCGAAAAACAACGAAACCTCCCATGCATCCAGTTTATTCGCAGGGATTTAAACTATATTCAAACTACCAGTATTCAGCGATTTTAATGCTCAGCGACTGGTGAGCCTGACGTTCTGAGGCCTAAGTGCCCCATGCCCACGTTTACATACGGCACAAAATAAAAATAAAAATAAAAACTAAGCCCCCCCTGGTGCTAACCTATTCACAGGTGGTTGGTGAACGCAAGAGCTACTTGATTTATTTGGGATGCTTTCATTTCTATAAATTGTTGCAAGTCAATAATACATGATATGATTACGTTTTTAAAAATTTTGAAGTGAAATATTTTGTAACATGTGAAAAATATATATGCTGTAGTTTGCGCTTTGCTACCGATAAAAAGATGATCCTTAATATTGACTTACATTGAATCTTTTTTAGTGTTTTAATGCTTTAAGTCTTTTTCATACTTACTAAAATCAAAGTAAAAATAACAACTGCATTTTACCAATTATTTAGGATTTTTAGTAAGCATTTTGTGACTTTGTTTGATAAGCATTTCATAACATATGAAAAAGCAAGAATTAAAACATTCACAAGTAACACTCTTAATTATTTAAGAACCTGCACTTAAAAAATTACACAAAAACGCGTTTTTGTGTTTTGTTAAACGTTTTTATAATTGATATTTAATTATTTGCGTAATACCTGTGCATAAATATGAATACGACTGCTTTTTACGTTGATGTGAAGTAAAACTTTGGAAATAAATACACAGGAATTTGATACTTAATGGCAGTGACTCATGTTTCCTTCTTACAAGGATATATTTCATCAGAAGTTCATTATCCATATTAAGACAACTGGATACAATTTAACGCTTGCAAGTGAGAAAAAAAAGGTTAAATATAAATGAATGAGGTAAAGAGAGGAGAATTTAAGTAAAGTAAGAAATGTCCCTATAAGTAAAATAACATTAGATTTAATCAAGCAGGAACATAATATTACAGTTTGATGCAACATATATAAAAAAAAAATTAGAATTTTGGAAATTTCAAAACTGAGCTTTCTTTTTTGATTTGCTTGTGAAATTGATTATTAATGATAAATAAAATTCAATTTGATTTCAGAGTAAAAGAAAGTTTAAAATTTCCCTATTAATAATTACTGTACATGTGATAGCAGGAGACAGCTTCATTTTTAAGTATTGCTTTTATTTTACGAATTACAAATAAAAATCAGCAAAACTTGCTGCCTTATGGTTATGAATATTATTCCTGTCAAGCCATCCTTATTTTTTTTAACTTTCATGACGTCTGATGTAAGGTTATGTTTACCTTTTAGTTTAAATATGGATAGTGATTACATATTTTAATGAGATCGGTCCATTTTTTAAAAAATCTAATCTTGGATGAATTCTTGGAAGAAGGTTTTTCTGCTTTGTCTTGAATTAATACCTCTGACAGTATAATCTTCTACAAGCATAAATTAATTTCTGTTGCAAATAACGATATTGACCTAAACAACTAAATTAACTGCGTGTTTATGGTTCATATTTTGTTCCTTCACCTGCCACATTATTTTTGGGAAAGAAAGTTTTATAACAAGCTCTTATACATGAAATAATGTTTCATCAATCATAGCAATTGATTCATAAATTATCTTACTAGTTTCCCTTCAACTTTCAGTAACGATATACAGGATCTTGAGATCAGTTTGACTTCATGACCTTGTATCATGATGATGCCAGTTTAAGAAAGAAATTGCTATTGGGACAGTACAAAAGACAAACAGATTAGAAATATGATTCTCTGATGATGCACCTTAAATTTTAAAGAAATGCACAACGAATGCGTGTAATTGTAATTTTCATTAGAAAGAACAAGCCCTTGTCATCAAGTGAATTATATATGCAAATGATTTAAATCTAAATTTAATTTATCTCACGTATGTTGTGGAAAAAATTCTGAATTATTGCATTTACGCCAAACCCTGGTGAGTCAATAATTTCCTCATCTTGAATTATAGTAATTTCTTCGTAATGTGCACTATTTCCTTTTATGTTTTCCGCGGGAGGGCGTATGGGTTAAAAATAAAGAAAAATTTCTACTTCTCTTTTTTTAAATTGTGATACTGTCACTCGACTGTTAAAAGCCTTTTAATAAGTGCAAAAATCAATATGTTTTTCTTTGTTTTAAATTTCTCCTATTCAAATCAGTCGACAATTATAACCATGTGTAGGAGCGGGGGGAAGTAATAAAATGCTTATTTTTCTATCTGAAAAAAATATTAGTATTTAGTATATCATACGAAAATTTTGAAACTTTATAGCGTAGAAAGTATGATTCTGGAATATAGAAGAATATCAACAATAATTATTTATTTGTGTTAATTAATTGAGCTATATTAATAAAAAATTTGATGTGTACACCACATGACTTCCTTGTACAAAATATTAAATTATAGGCATTTTTTCTTGCATTTCATTTAAACTTATTGGATTGAATTAAATCTAATTCGCCGACAGCGCATAAACCACAATAGAATAAATGCATTCTTTAAAATTCACTCTAGTGTTTGTTTACCATAGCGACACTCTGGCGCTAGATTCACTTAACATTATTAATAATTATATAACAGTTAACATATATAATAATTATATAACGGAAACTAAGTTAACTGTTATATAATCCAATAATTATATAACAGTTAACTTATATAGTATTTCGTTCATATTATAACTCATAATGCACAAAATTTGTATCATTTAAAGAATAGAATTATCTAATCGTTGCCACATTTTCTATTCAAATACTGTAATAAAGCTAGTACGATATATAAAAGAAATTAAGCAAACAAAACAAAAAAACAGTTTTTCACAGACGATTGAGTATTTCTCATTTAATTAATTCAGTTCTTACTTCGCGAGAAGGCAAAAATACATAAGAACTCAAAATATCTATATTAAAAATTACGAAGTAAATCTGAAACACTTATTTCCTCGAAAAAATTCCAGAAAGAATTAAGCATGATTTAATTGGCAATAATAAATGAATGCGTTATCTTTGTTGTTGCGAAGTAAAGTTTCTCTAGATTGGCAACAAATCCAATAGTCTCCTGTTCCAAATGTAAACATCAATGGCCGCCATAAAAAAAAAAAGGCTTAGCGGCACTTAGACAACTTTAAAATTGTTGATAATTCTAAAAATATTGCATATAGATTTACTAAAGGCATAAAAACCTTAACCGGAAGATAAAAACAACATAATACAATCATTTTAAAGCAAAAAATGTACAATTTACCAACATATAAGAGTAAAGAAACTGAAATCACTGAGCCGGGTAACAGAGTGGATATATATATAAATATATTTATATACGTTTGGTGCGGCCGATTGCAACCAAAATGCGAGGTGTACATCTGCATGTTATAGTAGTCCTATATACAAAAGTTCAACGTTTTCAGGCTACTCGTTTTTGAGTTATGTGAGATACGCACGTACCTACATACGTTCGTACAGATGCCACGAAAAATTATCTTCAGAATTCATTTTAAAGTAGTTTTATAATTTTTTTGGAGGAAAAGAGTATTTTATTCTGTCCTTACGTACAGATATCACGCAAAAACATCATTAAATTGCATTCGATAGCGATCAAAATGGATATTTTCGTTGAAATATGCTGCCTGAAACTTTTCGCGATTACTGTACTTCCTTTTTACTTCGTACAAGGAAGTAAAAAGAGCAAAATTTTTGTTACCTTACTCCAAACGTTTTTTATTGTTCAAAAACTCTTTTTCTGTCTTTAAATTGATGTTATACCTAATTGCAGTGCTTAGAAAATATTGTTGTAATTTTTGAATAATCCTAAATGCGGCTATTACTAAAATTACTGAAAAAATTAATTAATTTTCAGAAGGTTATGTGAAGAAAATAATTTCTTTCAGATGCAAAACTTTGTTGATGAGCTTGAATGATAAGTAGGATAACCGAGATATCTCTCTGGACTGGCTATAAATATCCAGTCTAGAGACATATCTCGGAGGAACATCAGGTCATCATCAGCACTTTAATGACCGCGAGAAATGTAGCTCTGAAACAAAGAGAGATAAGATACACATTACCTAATGATGCACTTCGTAAATAAAATAAGAATTTGTAGGAATTGCATCAAAATTTATAAAAGAAAAAGAAAACCTGAAAGCTTTCAGATTTTATATTACGCCCAAAACGGCGTTTTTTAACGTTTTATGTGTTACCTTCATTTATTAAATATCATGTTTTTCGCACTTAATCTACATAAAATTTAATTCAAC